CAGCCCAGCCCGGCCTGTTCCTACTCCACGCACCAGGGATACGGTGCGCTTCGCCAGCCCGGCCCGGCCTGTTCCGGCCTCTCGCACCAGAGATACGGTGCGCGTCGCCAGCCCAGCCCGGCCTGTTCCTGCTCTCCGCACTAGGCCTCATGTGCGTCCCCAGGGTCCAGCATGCCCTGTTGCTGCTCTCCGCACTAGGCCTTATGTGCGTCCCCAGGGCCAAGCAGGTCCTGTTGCTGCTTCCCGCACTAGCCCTGAGATGCGTGTCCTCAGCCCGGTACCTCCAGTTCCGGCACCACGCATCAGGCCTACGGTGCGTCCCCAGGGCCAAGCATGCCCTGTTGCTTCTCCCCGCACTAGCCCTGAGATGCGTGTCCTCAGCCCGGTACCTCCTGTTCCGGCACCACGCACCAGGCCTACGATGCGCCTCAGACGGCCAGAGTCTGCCGTCTGCCCAACGGGGCCTGAACTGTCCGTCTGCCCAACGCCGTCTGAACTGCCCGTCTGCCCAACGGCGCCTGAACTGCCCGTCTGCCCAACGCCGTCTGAACTGTCCGTCTGCCAAGCGCCGCAGGAGCTGCCCGTCGGTACTGAGCCTGCAAAGCCGCCCGTCTGCCATGAGCCTTCAGAGCCGTCCGCCAGACCGGAGCCGCTAGAGCTCTCCGCCAGACAAGAGCAGCCAGAGCCTTCCGCCAGACAGGATCAGCCAGAGCCTTCCGCCAGACAGGAGCAGCCAGAGCCTTCCGCCAGACAGGAGCAGCCAGAGCCTTCCGCCAGACAGGATCAGCCAGAGCCTTCCGCCAGACAGGATCAGCCAGATCCTTCTGCCAGACAGGATCAGCCAGAGCCTTCTGCCAGACAGGATCAGCCAGAGCCTTCTGCCAGCCAGGATCCGCCAGAGCCGTCCAGCCAGGATCCGCCAGAGCCGTCCAGCCAGGATCCGCCAGAGCCAGCCAGCCAGGATCCGCCATTCAGTCCGGTGCTGCCCCTCAGTCAGGTACTGTCCCTTAGTCCGGTGCTGCCCCTTAGTCCGGTGCTGCCCCTTAGTCCTGTGCCGCCCCTTAATCCAGTGGGGTTTAGTGGGGGGGGTGGTCATGTGGAAGGGGCTACGGAAGCGGAAAGTGACTAAGGTGGGGTGGGGACCACGACCTGGACCAGAACCGCCACCATGGACAGACGCCCACCCAGACCCTCCCCTAGACTGTATGCTGGTGCGCCCGGAGTGCGCACCTTTAGGGGGGGGTACTGTGACACTCTGGCTCCATGGACTTTATTATTGAGCCAGGGTTGTTCATGTTCATTGTTTGGGTGTATTTCTATGTTGGGGATTTCTGGTTGTGCATTTCTATGTTTGGGTTAATTGTTCTTTATTAGTCATATGACTCCCAATCGGAGGTAACGAGTGTCAGCTGTCGGCTCGTTATCTCTGATTGGGAGCCATATTTATACTGTGTGGTTTCACCTGGGTTTTTGTGGGTTTTTGTTTCCTTGATCCTGTTTAGTCAGTGTCAGATTTGGACTTCACTTTCGTCATTTTGGTTTGTTGTTTTTATCGTGGTTTCTTTAATTAAATAAAGTCTACGATGTTCGCTCAACACGCTGCGCTTTGGTCTCCTCCTTTCGACGATCGTGACAGCAGTGCGATAAAAACAACAACAACACAGAGTTTCCTCATGGGAGAATGAAGGGACTTGAATAACTATAGAGAGAAAACGTATATTAGGCAGTATACTGTATATATTCAACAGAAAAATAATAGAATAGAAAGAATTAGAAGAACGTTATCGCCCTTCAACAATGTCAACAGGAATCATTCCTGTCCTAAGAGGGGATCGGGGAGGCAGAAAGGACCATGGAAGCAGGGACCAGGGTAAGGACATGTAAGGTTACACTGTTATCTGGAGATAAGGCTCCAGGAGGCCCCGTCCGTGTCACTCTCCCTGCCGATCAGAGTCACTCTGTCAGAGGGTGGGACATGGGTATGGGTATGGGGGGGGGGGGGGGGGGGTGGAGATACGGCAATGGGGTCACTGTCAGGAGGGGGGAGAGTTAGCGATACGGCAAAGGAGAGGGGAGGGGATCAAATAAAATACGTCAGAGAAGAGAGGAGATGAGAAAAGCTGTTATGGCTCCTGCTGATAGCAGGCGATACCGGAAAGGAAGGGAGGAGGAGGAGAGAAAAAACCCAGTGGAGGAAGAGAGATTAAAGTCCAGTCATACAGGAGAAATACACTCAGATCGATAGTGTAGGTCTTAAAAAGGCAGGGAGAAAATGGATGAAGATAAATGAGATATGGTCGGCTCCTGATGAGTGCACATCGGTTCAGTTCAAACTCTGTTGAAGTACACACTGCAGAGCTGTATAACCCTGGGCGCTGGATGATTTTCTGACCCCCTAGAAACATGTTTTTTTTTATTATTAACATTTATTTTTCCTTTTGGTTGATTTGTCTCTCTCTCTCTCTCTCTCTCTCTCTCTCTCTCTCTCTCTCTCTCTCTCTCTCTCTCTCTCTCTCTCTCTCTCTCTATAAACAGCAGTTTATAGTGGTTAGTGTTACATAATGGGGAAAAAGAAAAGTGTGTCTAATTTATTCCTCAATATTTAGCTCCATTAGAGACTCGGCCTCCTAAGTAGAAAATTACCATGTAATATGGTAATGGTGGGCAAGAAATACAATATAGCTTTATTTTAGGATCTGTAATGGACTGTCATCCATTAGACAAAAATGACTTTCATCACGCTGACTCTATACGGCTGGGGTGCAGGGACAAACAATGCTTAGGTCACCATCATGACCTATGTAAAATAATAATTACTCAACAGGACCATTAGCACGGTTCGGTTTAAAAGGACCTCATGCCTGATTCATCCTCTTTGGCGTTTCCCTTCTATCAAAGTGCATATCGCCTTTGTCTATGTTTAGATTTAAAACGCTTGGAAAACATTGTAAATTGTAAGTTTTATTTAACTTTGTCTGAGGGTGTGCATTTTGTCCTGCTATGACGATGGACATTTATGTAATGAATGTCAAAACAGTAGGGGACACCTGGCACTAGTGTCCTCTGTTCTGGAGTCTGGCAGTAGTGTAGCGCCTCAGTGTAATAGCTAGAGCAGGCCTTGAACAAGCAACTCCTGCAGATACAGGTCATACATTTCACAGGTCACAAAGGCTGTGTTTACACAAGCAGCACAATTCTGATCTTTTGCCAAATTATTGGCAGCTGGTCTGATTGGTCAAAAGACCAATTAGTGGAAAAATATCAGAATTAGGCTGCCTGTGTAAATTCAGCCATAGGTTCAGATTGAGCTTTCCCAACATGTAATCAGAAATCAATTACATACGCCACAATTGCCTCAGAGCTTCCATCACAGATCCCCCCCTACACACACACACACACACACACACACACACACACACACACACACACACACACACACACACACACACACACACACACACACACACACACACACACACATACACCTATTTTCTGCTAGTTTAGGCATTGATGTGAGTCAGTGTGAGACCAATTTACAATTAAGCAATAAGGCACGAGGGGGTGTGGTATATGGCCAATATACCACGGCTAAAGGCTGTTCTTAAGCACCACGCAACGTGGAGTGCCTGGATACAGCCCTTAGCCATGGTATATTGGCAATATACCACAAACCCCCGAGGTGCCTTATCGCTATTATAAACTGGTTACCAAAGTAATTAGAGCAGTAAAAATAAATGTTTTGTCATACCCGTGGTATACGGTCTGATATACCACAGCTGTCATCCAATCAGCATTCAGGGCTCGAACCACCCAGTTTATAATTGAAGATGACTTACAGTCGTGACATCACTGCAGGACTCTTCACACAGCTGCGTACCCTCCACTGCTACAAACACACACACACACACACACACACACACACACACACACACACACACACACACACACACACACACACACACACACCCTCCAGGGGTGATATCAGATCGTTATCAATTAGCAGTGGGGCGGTGCGGTGTGCCAGGTGTCTTACTGGGATAACACACACTCCGACCTTTAATCAAGCCAGCACTCATCAGCAACACCCACACACCATGTTCCCCTGTCCTCCCTGTGGAGAGAGAGGGGGAGAAGATTATTACTCATACCTACGTCAGACATATGGCACTTTTAATGAAGGAGACATTTAAATACGGCTTAATGAAGCCTTCATTAACCCTTTATAAAGGAAATCAGAAGTCATTCATAAGCAATGGCATGTCATATACAGGGTGGCAGAAAGGTTTATTGTGTTCAGTTTTTTTTCTTCTTCAACAAACAGGTATAAAACAGTGGCTTATTGAGGCTCCGATATTTGTATTTCACTGAATATCACTGAATATCATTGTGTTTGTGATTAATTCTGTGTACGGGAAACCAAATACAAAATACTGTTTGACCCTAAATGAACAATAAAGCTTTTAACCATCGACCCTCGGTATCAAAAGTAGCCCGCTTCTAGAAGTGTCTCATCAAGAGAATTTGTTATTGGTTTGTTTCATGTGCAATGTGGCATAATACTCCAAATCAATGTATGAATAATTTACGGTATTAATACATTCTAATCTAAATGTAATCATGAACTGGAGGGATTGCTCTTCAGGACATGGAATGACTTTGATACCAAAATATTACAGTGTTATTTCTGGTTCTATTGAAGGGAACTCAAGTAATCAAATTTGATACAAATGTAGTTAAAATTAATGTCAATGTATGACTATTATAAGAGTGCATAAATTCAGTGTCATCATGAACTGGAGAGGGTTTTCTTGTTAGGTTGAGACGTGACCGATGTTGACATCTTCCATTCCTCTTCACAGTGACCCCTCAGAACCCCCCCCCCCCCCCCCCTTCCCCCCACCCCCCCAGCATCCTCCCCCTGACAGCCAACCCTGTTAGTTCTGCATAATCTTGCTGATTAAAAAATTAAAGGAATTATCAGCTCCAATGAGTGCTTTCTCATGCGATTCAGTTTTATTACAAAAAAATTGTTTGATACAAATAAATATAGATAACAGCAATGAACATATATTTTACATACTCTATTGAACACTCGCCTCCTTCCACAGTCCCGTAACCACACACATTGTCTCACAAAATAAATAAGGATGTGAACCAAAAATGCCCTGCTAACACCCTCACTGGTCCGTTTGCACGGTCATGTACTGCATATAATCACACAAGTTAGACAATCTAAATACGGAATCAAACCAAGAAATGCCCACAAACACAAAATAACACTTTATTAAGCTTGAGCGCCAGCCGCAATTCATTGAACATATAGTGAGCAAAAAAACAAATGAGTAAAAAATGAATAAATCTCTTTAAATTCAAAATGTAGTACAGAACAGAATGTTTTGGCAACCCTCAGGCTTTTTTTCTGTAATCAGTCTCATGGTAGATTTGGCAGCCGGTGATGGGTGGTCCCCATTAGTTAGGTAGTAGATAGACAACATGGGGGGTTGGAGAGATAGATAGAGAGACAGAGAGCTCAGCCAGTGAAGCAGAAATCCTCCACACTGTTCACCTTGATCCTCTGCAGCTCCTGCCGGTCCAGCAGACGGTACTGGAACGCCACCCGGTTGACAAACTTCCCGCTGGACACCATCCTCACCACCGTGTTGTCACAACCTATCTTCATCTGGGCTATAGGACGAGGAAAGGAGAAAGAAAAGAGAGAAAGTCAAAAACGGTCATACACTAATTACACACTGTAAGGACTTTCCATTCAAAAATGGGTAATAAAGATCTACTCTAGTTAGAATGGTGATGGGTGGGTTTAATAAAATATCTACTCTAGTTAGGATGGTGATGGGTGGGGTTAATAAAATATCTACTCTAGTTAGGATGGTGATGGGTGGGATTAATAAAGATCTACTCTAGTTATGATGGTGATGGTGATGGTGTGGGTGCCGCTCACCTGGACCGTTAAAGTTGTAGCAAAGGTCAGCTACAGGGAACATCTTAGACGGGTCCATCCCGTTCCCTCCCAGCAGCTCCACAAAGTCCCCTGCTCCCGCACAGCCTGGGATGGACCTCTGGAGAGAAGACCAACTCAATGGATTAACAAGCATTTTTACTTTCCTTCCTTCCTTCCTTCCTTCCTTCCTTCCTTCCTTCCTTCCTTCCTTCCTTCCTTCCTTCCTTCCTTCCTTCCTTCCTTCCTTCCTTCCTTCCTTCCTTCCTTCTACCCCCTCACACATATCCCAGCACACTCATCTCCGCTGACAAAGCATCCCCTCATCATCATTGGGACCTAACACAGGTCTCTAGGTCTTTGGCAGGGTAGTTCACTAAACCCCCTCTGCTACAACAGCCAGAAGTCAGAAGCGCTGATGTTTTTTCTATTCTTCCCCTCTAATCTGTATTTTTGATTCAGACCTGTGACACATGGTGAGTGGAATCTCTGGCTAATCAGTGAGTGACATTAATCAACCAAAATATTTCCCGGGGAGAAAAGGAAACCAGCAGTGCTTCGGACCTCTAGGCTCAGATGTGTCCCTGCTCAGGGCTCACCTTGATGGGGAAGTCGTTGAGGTGTCCCAGGCTGAGCTCAGCAATCTTGATCTCCACGGGGTAGATGATGGAGAAGCTACAGTTCCTGTGCTGCTGGGGTATCACCATGGTGAAGCTGCCCTCTGGTGTCTGGGAGATGATATTACAGGCTGTTGGGGGAGAGGTGGAGGGGAACATGGGAAGGGAAAGGGGATACCTAGTCAGTTGCACAACTGAATGCATTCAACAGAAATGTTTAACCCAACCCCTCTGAATCAGAGAGGTACGGGGGGCTGATTAAACGACGTCCACGATATATCCGTGTCTTTAGACATGTTGACCTTCATTTAGCAAAAATCCATCCATTTAAGGGGGCAAAATTGCTTAGTACAAATGCAAACACACACACAAGTACGGCTTAGACGTACGCAGCTTAGACGTGTACAACCTAAAGGGTCACTAAAGCATTAACACACAACCCTGGCGTTACAACATGTAGTACTATAAGTACTATAGCATTACATTGGCATCCTGCCCCATGTTGGCACATCTAATGGCACTCCTGCTATTACAGTCCTTGGCCTTTCTGTATGATGTTTTCCGTTATTTTATTAATATTTTTTGCTGGCATTGGACGTGGGAACGGGAGAACCCTTTTTCTCTCATTCGGGACGATATCTCGTCATAAATATCCTTACTTCTATATGCGTTTTCTAATTTCTATTGGACTATGGCATCCGACCACAGTGCCAGTATAGGCATTTGGTTTCTAATGAAGACCATGATCTTAATTCTGGAGGAATTGTAGAGGTATCATTGTCCATAATTACTACTTCAACTGGCCAGTGTGATTTCTTTTTAGAGAGCGGGACAACAGTGACGTTGGACAAATGTATGAGGCTCTACATGGTCAATCCGACATCTGCAGTGGCCGTACAGCAGAAGTCAGAGCATTCATAAGCCTACTTGCACTTTGTGGAGCAGATCAGAGCTCTTGTCAAGGAAGTGAGTTTGTGTTTATACAGGACCTCTCGCCCCCACCTACCGTCAACCAATCATGTCAATGCGGAGCTATACAGAGCCCTCCGCATTGTTACAAAATTTGGGAGGCGCTTGGCGATACGGTACGGAGCTCGATTTGGCTTCCGTAAGCCTCCGGAGACTCTGCAATTGCTTCAAACCTTCTGTACGGCGCCTTTCAGAGCAAGCATAAATTGGCTTTAAGCTTAGGTTGTCAGGATTTGTTTACACTTCAAGGATATCCGTACAAGATGCATCTTCGACTACCTCTGGAGGTGGTCAGGAAGATCAAATCACAATCAGTTCACAATGCGTCTTTTGATTGTCTACACCTGTCGACAAATGTGGGCACAATCAGAATGTGGACAAGATCAGGACAACTGACGCATGTTAGAACCAGGTATAAACGGGGCTTCAGCTCATGCACTCAAAGTAAAACCCTAAAGGTCATTAACAGTAAGACTGGCCATCAAGCTAGTGCAGGTCTCTACTCACGGAAAGGGTTGATGGGTTTCCTGACGGTCAGCGTGAAGGAGCTCCCGGCAGTGTGAATGCGGAAGAACAGCATGGCAACGTTCTGAGACGACCACACGGTTCTCCTGACCGTCCCAGAGTCGCAGTAGTCCACATAGCGTTCCATCAGCGGCAGGGCGTGGTCCTGGGAACTAGGGAACTTCTCTCCCTTCATCACCCAGCCATCAAACACCTGGGAGAGGAGAGGGGAGAGAGATGTGGACTTAATCAAAACCATTCAAACATCAAATTTCTACAGTTATGTTTAGCCATTAATTCCGACTGGTTAACCCTTTACACTCGTGGGAATTGGCAGATATGGATAGGGCTAAATTGAAATGTTTCTTACAGAAGAAATATGAAAAGCAAATGCATAAGCATGGTATCAATTGAAAGGGAACAGTTTGGAGATTATGGGGAAATTATCTGACCAAAGTTGAGGAAACAACAGTTCACCTGACACAAGACTGAATCCAAACATTACACTGTTGATTTTATGTGCATTTTACATTTACTGTACTTTTCGCCGCATTTGTTGATAACGAAATCTGAAAATATTCTGGATCCATTCAGTAACATGATAAGAATATTCCTGGAAAATGTGAGTTAGGTGCAGCATAAGACAAAAAAATGACAAGGGTTTGAAAGAGAGGACTAACTCCAAGTGGCCGAACACCTCTCCAAAGTGTGTACAGTTCCAAAGTCATTTCAATGCACTTTTATGACTCAAAGAAGAGTCTTCAACTATAAGGTGCTTTTTTGAGCACCCCTAGCTGTGCCGTTGAGGAACTAGTTGTTTTGTTTGGAACACAACCCTGCATCCCAACACAATTACTGTTGTTGTTGACACAATCCAAAAACGGCCCATTATAAATCGCAATCTGGGTCAAGTGGGCATCATTTGAAAGCTTGTTCTGTTGCCAACATACGATCTTACAGTGTAAGGCTTTCACAAGGCAATTCAGAGAAACAGATTGTCATTTTGGTGCGCCTAGAAAGGAGCCATGCGTGCATTCAGGTGCGTGGTCCACGGCAAATTTTCTTCACAATAGACAAACATAGGCTCATTCTGTTCAGAACAACCCAGGGTATGACCCCATGTCATCTTGTAACCGTACATCAAACATAGTGATCAAAAACGTTGACACTGTATATGACATGAGTTGTATAATATGGAAATGTGAAGTGCACATTTGGACTCACAGGTGTTTGGCTCATATGACATCAAATCAGTATTTATTGTAATCCTCAACGTCTCATCTTTCAAAATATACTGAGTCCTCTTAATTTAAAGCATTTCCCTCACTCAGACAACAACAAATATGCAAAAGCCCAATTAACGGGAGGGATGGGGACTGACCTCTGACATCATTTATAGCATGTTACTGTACAGCCACTGCTTTCCAATTAGGTGCTTATCATTGCCAAAATCTGCCATTTTCAACCCGCATATGCGTATGAGTGTAAAGTGCTACGATAAGGGTTAAGGTTTGGGATAGGGTTAAAACAGAACAAAATGTACAATTAAGTTTAACCATTCATTCCGACTGGTTAAGGTAAGGGTTAAGGTTTGGGATCGTGTTAAAACAGGAAAAATACAAATGAGTGCCTAACACTGGGATTGAACCCGCGATCCTTGGAGCCTACTAGATGGTAATAGGTGCTCACGTTGCCCCTAGTGGACAGTATTGAAGGCATCTCCCGACGTCCTGGGGACTGGATAAATGTGGAATACTGAAGTCCATCTGGTGTGACCTGGCTGTAAATCAAGGGTGGGACTTAATTGCAGCCTTAGCACACATTCACAGAGTAAAGTTTTTAAAAAAACGACACAGGAAAAGACCCTATGTTACCCCTGGTGACAGCATCTGCTAAGTGACTATATCATTTTGTGGTATTTAGGAGTCCGTAATGATCTAATACTGAGAACGAGTGTTCCCAGGCCAGGGGGTAAGGTGAGGGATTATGCCTGGGCACAAATAACAACAAGATAATCTGCCGGGAATTTCATCACATCAATTGTCTGGAAATGTTAATCTATCCCCGGACCTGGTTTTGCTGACGTCAGTTAAGGGGGAGCTGGGAGGGGAGTATTTGGGATGTATGTGGGTGTGAAAGCAGTGGTGGTGGTGTGTGTGTGTGTGTGTATGTGTGTGTATGTGTGTGTTGTGCGTGTGTGCATGCACGCCACATGTGCATGTGTGGTTACCTTGATGAAGTCTCCTCCCCTGCAGTCGATGTCAACGCTGTCATACTCCACACTGATGACCTGGTTGGGCTCAGCGATGAAGAAAGCAGCACAGCTGAGCTGAGGCCGGTCTGCTGTGAAGGTGAACTGGCCCTCTACTGCCACCATGTCCAGACACCCTGAGAGAGGGAGAGGAGGAGGAAGGGAAGAATAAAGGAAGGTGGTAGAGGATAGAGAGAAGGAGGAGAGATAGAGGGGAGAGATAGGGAAGAGGGGAAGAAGGAGGGAGATGGGGGTGGGGGTAACAGAGGGGGTGGGGGGGGGAGAGAGTGGGAGATATAGAGACAGAAAGAGAGACATGGAGAGGGAGAGAGAAATGGAGACAGAGACAGGGTTAACATTACATTGTGTGCACATTGGCTGTTTATATTTTACATGATGAAGTGCAAGTTTCTCTGACAAAAACGCAATCTAATATACATTTCAAATTCATCAAGTAGTATTCATCAATCTGTACATTTAGTCAAGAAAGTCATATACAGATTATAATTATATAATTTACAAGAGGCCTAAATCACACATTTATTATTTTTGATTATTTATTATTCACAAAAATGCATACACAATTGTGACTGACAAATTCAGTTTTTTTTTTTTTACCTTTCATGCTAAATAAAAGCATTTTAGAAGATTTGATCATGTCGGCAAAAAAAGTATTGCTTCACAGATCGACCATGTAAATGGCAAATATGCCTATTAACGGTTTTTAATAAATGACTTCAGTCAGTTACTTACGGAGGGGTCGGCTGTAAATTAATGTTTCTGGTATTTCTCTTTTGAGCTCTGAATTAAGAAGTGCATATAATCCCTCTGGTGTAATGTCATTTTCCTGCACAAAAAAACAACAACATTTAGATAATATTTAGAAAAAGAAAGTCAAGATTGAATGTGAACAAGTGACAGCAATATACCGTCAAGCAAGATAACTCAAGGGTTTTAGTAAAGGTTAGTAGCCTACATAATGCATAAATCAAGTGCGCAATGGGAGTTATTACAATGAGAACATTATTTGACTGAGTACAAAAAGTTGCAACAACTTTTCTCATACAGAAAGCATTATTGCATTAATTGAGCTTGTATTACAAAGTCTAGTACAGGAAACACATGGGAACGAAAAAGGTTAATAAAACATGCAAAGTGCCTCCAGAGGCTTACCTCGATGTACCTGGTGTCTCCCTTGAGAACAGACAGACATAACACAATGAAGAACAGATGCTCTCGGAAAGTCCCCTCCATATTGCTCAGTATCTTTGTATGGAGTCTCTATCGCACCTCAAGAACAGAACAGGGGAAAGTCTGGTCCCGCGCTCCAAGCCACACTCCTCTTTTATAGGTTGACGCACCGCGCGCGTCTCAATAAAAACGCACCCCGTAAAGATCAATGGATACACAGTCCCCCATATAGGCTCTACCAACCAGATTGCGTGTTTGTGACGAGAGCAAATCAGGAATCATGGTGTGCCTGTGACTCTGTGTCAGATGAGCAGAGAGAGAGAGAGGGAGAGAGAACGGGGGAGGGGGGTTGCACTTTCTAACCTCCTGACAAATGTATGACCATATTAGAGACACATATTTCCCTCAGATTACACAGACCAACAATGATTTTGAGAACAAATCATGATAAATTATCATATCTATAAGGTGAAATACCAGTGTGACATCACAGCAACAAGATTTGTGACTTGTTGCCACAAGAAAAGGGCAACCAGTGAAGCACAAACACCATTGTAAATACAACCCATATTTATCTGTTTATTTATTTTCCCTTTTTGTACTACAACTACAGTATTTGCACATTTTTACAACCCTGTACATAGCCATAATATAACATTTGAATTGTCTCTATTATTTTAAAACTTTTGTATGTGTAATGCTTACTGTTAATTTCTGATTGTTTATTTCACTTTAGTTTATTATCTATTTCACTTGCTTTGGCAATGTAAACATAGGTTTCCATGCCAATAAATCCCTTTAAATTCAATTGAATTGAGAGAGAGAGAGAGAGAGAGAGAGAGAGAGAGAGAGAGAGAGAGAGAGAGAGAGAGAGAAAGAAAGAAAGAGAGAGAGAGAGAGAGCAAGAGAGAGAGAGAGAGCAAGAGAGAGAGAGAGAGAAAGAAAGAGAGAGAAAGAAAGAGAGAGCACTTTGCACATGAGAGTTAATCCTTTAGCTCAACCATCCAGTGTTTTAAGCTGTCATCACAAGGTGTAGGATACAGAGCAATACCAGTTCAATACCAGTGTTTATCTAAAAATAGTCCTTATGAACTGTAAAATAGTGTCACAGTTGGCAGTAATTTTGTAAGATGGCCGCGACAGCCCCCAGGGGCCAAATCTAGGGTGTCTCCATATCAAAATCTGTTCACAAAGTGAAGGATTGAGGAAAATGTTCCAACTTTTCCACTTTAACCGGAAACCTCCACAGATTTCTATTTTGCCCTTCCCATCACCTCCTTCACAGCTCACCCTCTCATCACCTCCCTCACACCCTTCCTGACCATCCCCTCCCTCCCTCCCTCCCTCCCACCTTCCTTCCAAACCCCCAAGCCACCAGGTGCCCCAGGCATTTAGAATGGTCAGCTCCATCCCAGCATGGCATTTAGTCCTTTCTGTACCTGTCCCTCCTGTCCTCCTGTCCCTTGTCTCTCTCCATCAAAACAGTGCCAGGGGATTAAACAATGGATGGAGGCCTAGCCTACATCAGCTAGCTTAGCCTTGCACCATGAGTTTACCTCTGAGACTCATAGTGACTAATTTCCGAGAAGCTTGAGCCTCACCGGGCTCCAACACACCGTTGCTGTGGTAAATCATTCTAACTGATGTCTGGCTGGTTTAATTCTTCCCTCTATTGTTGTTAAAGCAGATTTTTTGGAGCACTGACGCACTTGGCAGGTCCTGGGTGTTAGCATAAATCACTCCGTTCCCTGTAGTCTCCGCTCTCTCTGCCATATAGCGGGAGTGCCAGGCAGAGTATTGGATTGGGATGCTCTGTAAGCAAAGATTGGCCTTGGTCCAAATGTAAATGTATTCCTTATGGAGCTTTGAAAATGGAAAGAGTGTTGTGTCTTGTTGGGTTTGTCGTTTAATTGCAACACAGGCTCAGTTTGGTTTGGCTTGGTTGGCTTTGATTTGGTATTTGCTGAGCGTAAGCGGACACACTTGGAAACAAAAGGATTAATCCCAAGTGTAGATTGTATCCCAATGTTGAAATCAAATTTGAAAAAGGTGTACGTGTGCATGTGTCCATGTGTGTGCCCTCACATGAGTGCTCTTTAAGCCTGCCACCCCTGCCAAAATACAATCGAGCTGATTAAATCTAGTCCCATGCAAACACTGCATCCACCGCCTCTCTCTGTCTGTAAAAACATGGTGCTCTGGCACTGGCCTACACAACATCATTGAGAAATGCCAAGTGGGGCCTCAGGGGAGCTGATGGTAGAGTAAACAATTGTTCTCCATAGACACTGAATGGCCATTTCAAGGTCAATTATGTTGTTAGCATATATTAGCCATAATTGCCGCTGATGTTTCCTCTCTGTCTGCCTAGCATGTCCACTGAGAGGAAAAATACTGTAATTGCTAGCGAGATCATGTGTTCGATGGTGGACATATACAGCTCTATAAAATAAATATGGGATTTTGTATAACCTGCATTCTATGAAGTGGTCATTATAATATTTATGAATATGAAACATTAAGGGTCAAAGGGCCCAAGGTCCATTTTCATTGAGTATTAGGCCTATTGTGTTTGAGAGCCGCTACTCATGTGAACTGACTGAACTAATTTGAACCCACTTGACCTTTTCAACTGAAAAGGTAATGAATCTCTTTGGAGTGATTTGGAGCATTTGGAGTAAATCACTCTTCGTTGGCAGTAATTTGTCCCATTTATTTACAGCAGCCATCACAGTGAAATGCTAAAGACAGAACACTGTGTTAATTAGCCTGTTTCCAAGTGTGTACATGTACAGTGCATTCGGAAAGTATTCAGACACCTTGACTTTTTCCACATTTTGTTACGTTACAGCCTTATTCTAAAATCGATTAAATTGTTTTTTTCCTCATCAATCTACACACAACACTCCATAATGACAAAGCAAAACAGGTTTTTACTACTCCAAACATTTATTTAGTAGGCCTATAACCTAGTTCATACATTTGAAAAACATCTTAATAAGAATGATAGACTATAAAGTTAGTGGAGTCTATATTCATGCAATCATTCATTAAAGACCCATGGGGCGGCGCACAATTGGCCCAGCGTCGTCCAGGGTAGGGGTGGGAACGGCCGGCAGGGATGTAGCTCAGTTGGTAGAGCATGGCGTTTGCAACGCCAGGGTTGTGGGTTCGATTCCCATGGGGGGGCCAGTATGAAAAATAAAAAATAATGTATGCACTCACTAACTGTAAGTCGCTCTGGATAAGAGCGTCTGCTAAATGACGTAAATGTAATTAAAGATGCAATATCAAAGCAAACTTCAATTCAAACTTTATTTGAAGTGCATTTAAAATAGCAACACACTTAAAACAATCAAATGAAAAAACAAGCACAATAAAAGAGAGCAAACAATATCAAAGAACATAATGCACAAAGACGTCATTGATTAAAGGCTAAAATGGGATTTTAACAACCTCAAGCAGTTTCCCTGTACAATGCAAAGTTCCATATAAAAAATGGATAATAAAACTTTTAGTATGATATACTTTATAAAATAAACACAACGATGAATAATCAAACGTATTTTACCTCTACAATTTAAGAAATAAACAGTAGCTTTGCTCTCAAATTTCCAATGCTAGGCCCCTTGATTTCTCATAGTTTCACCTCCAAGTAGCCAAATGCCTAAAAAACAGCCCTGCTTGAAACGGGTACTACTACAGTTACTCTCTGTAGATCTGGCAAACTGCACTTTATACTGACAATATGCACAACGGTTCAAAATTCTCTGAACTGTAATAAATTGTGCCTCTGAAACAGATTTCAATGCCTTGCCCCAAACCTCAACAGGGGACTTGAAATGATGTTGATTCTGATGTTTCTGGAACCAATTCACACGATCCATGACATGAGAAATGCATGTATTTTAATGTACTTGATCAACAAGCACATCACAAGAGAACAACTGTGTTACTATGCCTGGTGTTAGCTCTGCATCTGGTTGAATGTGTGGTAGGCCCATCTGTCTGTCAGCGGCAAACCACTTTGCAAGTACACTGGATGAGCAAACATTTTTACTTTGATCAGTGCTTAGAACCTCTACCAGCATGTCTACCTTATAATGTTGTTCTGTCAGCTGTACAATGGTGAGATCTTGTTTGTATACATTCATGTGAAGACACTTTACAGATCATTCCTTTTTTCACTTGCTATGACAAACAGCTGTTTACGGGGCAGGCAAATAATGTCTGAGCTCACTGCAAATTCATCACTGGTCAGATCCTTATTCTCACTCTGATCAATGAAATGTACTTGGCAACATCAAAGTAGCCACCCTTTGCCTTGATGACAGCTTTGCACACTCTTGGCATTCTCTCAACCAGCTTCACCTAGAATGCTTTTCCAACAGTCTTGAAGGAGTTTCCACATATGCTGAGCACTTGTTGGCTGCTTTTCCTTCACTCTGCGGTCAAACTCATCCCAAACCATCTCAATTGGGTTGAGGTCAGGGGATTGTGGAGGCCATGTCATCTAATGCAGCACTCCATCCATCTCCTTCTTGGTCAAATAGCCCTTACACAGCCTGGAGGTGAGTTGGGTCATTGTCCTGTTGAAAAATAAATGATAGTCCCACTAAGTGCAAACCAGATGGGATGGCGTATCGCTGCAGAATGCTGTGGTAGCCATGCTGGTTAAGTGTGCCTTGAATTCTAAATAAATCACTGACAGTGTCACCAGCAAAGCACCCCCACACCATCACACCTCTTCCTCCATGCTTCACGGTGGGAACCACACATGAGGAGATCATCTGTTCACCTACTCTGCGTCTCACAAAGACACGGCGGTTGGAACCAAAAATCTCAAATTTGGACTCATCAGACCAAAGGACACATTTCCACCGGTCTAATGTCCATTGCTTGTGTTTCTTGGCCCAAGCAAGTCTCTTCTTCTTATTGGTGTCCCTTAGAAGTGGTTTCTTTGGGCTCCCGAGTGGCACAGCAGTCTAAGGCACTGCATCTCAGTGCTAGAGGCGTCACTACAGACCCTGGTTTGATTTCAAGCTGTATCACAATCCGTCTTTGATTGGAAGTCCAATAGAGCGGTGCACAATTGGCCCAGCGTCGTCCGGGTTTGGCCGGGTAGGCAGTCAT